GCTCGTGCGTGCTGGCGGAGCCCCTTCAGCCCGGGTCTCGGCCCGGCCCCGCCCGGCTCTGGGGAGCGCCTGAGGGCGGGCGCTGAGCGCTGCTGTAGTGTCGGGCCCGGCGCCTCAGGGCGCGGTGTCGGCACCTCAGGGTGCTGCTTCTGGCTCAGTCTCTCCTGCGGTGCTCGTCCCGGCGCCACAGCCCGTTCCTGCTCCTTTTACTGCTGGGCCTGGCACTCCACCGCCAGTGCCGGAGCCCCGCGCTGTCCCTGCCCCGGCCCGCATTCTTTGTCTGGGCCTCGTATCCCAACCCCTGAAGCTTTTGCTCCTTGCAGCTGTAGGCGGGAGTGGTGCTGGCAGGGGCTCTTTCTGATTCTAGCACTGCAGAGTGCTCTCTTCAAAATTGTTGTCCTGTGCTCCCCTGTAACCTGTTGCTGTGAAGGAAACGGGATGTGGGTTAGGACTTTGTTGTCGGGAGCTCCTGTATACAAGTGATGTGTGTTCTGGGTGAGGGACAAGCTGTAAGGTAAGACCCTTTAGCGTTACCACAAAGTGGTGATCTGGTAATCTACACTCTCAATTTATAAGCAACAATGGTGTAGGACTTCTGTAATTTTGACATTGCTGCCAGTGTTCGTGAACAGCTGTTGATGCATTCATTCCCTTCATGATTTTCCTTTCCTGCATTTGTTTTGCAGACAATCCTAGGAGAAACTCATGAAGAGGAGGATGAGATCCTTCCACGCAAAGACTATGAGGTGGGGAATTAACTAATAACAGCCTAATATTAATATGATAAGAAGTGCAGACAGGTTTTGATCTGTTTGAGTTTGTAATAGGGCAGGTACTCAATATGGATCACTAGGTTGCGTTGGCATCAGCAGAAATACCAGGTGTTGCTGTGCTTGCATAGAACTGTTCCTTGTCTTTGTATGTTTCTGGGATGAAGCCCTGTGAGTAGGTTGAATGGCTGCTCTCAAGTCAGACTCTTGTTGAGAAAATTCATTTTCAGAGTCTGATGCATTTTCTCACTTCTTCAATGTGAGATTCACAAGCTCTGGTGGCCTTGTTTTCTGGTGACTGTAGAGAGCATCTGTACCTTCTTGGTCACTGTTGCCTTTCTGCTGTCTGTGTTGTCATGTTGGCTCACAGCAGGTGTTCCCATATATCAGATTCTCCTGCTTACAGGAGATTTTTGTTTTTTACATCACTGTATGGTGGCCCTGAAGTATTTAGAGCAGTTGCTGTCAGTATGGGTGTCACCAGCCCAGCCTGTTACTGCTTGGCTCGAAAAGGTGAAGATATGGATAGAACTGGTGGAGTTTCATGAGTGTGACCGGGAAACTATTGCTGTTAATGTCCTGCTGTGATAAACTGAAGAATTGATACTGTTCATCTGGAGAGGAGTTCCTAGCTAGAGCTCCTAGCAGTTGCAGTGAGAGGGTGGATATAAAGATCCAGTGTGATCCCCTGCACTGTCAAAGTGGAGACACTTAAAGAAGTATAAAACTGTACAGTGTGGCTTCTCTAACATAAAGATATATAAATCAGTTGTGCTTCTGTTTGTTTCCCTGTCTCTCTCAGCTTGAGCAGTGAAATAGTTCTTTTCTTTCACTTTGTGATTTTCAGGGTCTGAATGATCGAAATATTTAAAGTTGTTTCCAGGAGTAATTTCTCCTACTGTTGTTTGGAAAATCAACAACACTACTGTGGGGGTAGTAATGACTTCTGTAGTCTTTAACAAGGTCTTCTAGACATACTTTTTTCACCATCTGTTGCAGCTGATTCTCCTAAATTGACCTTTTGGCATTTCAGAGCCTGGATTATGATCGCTGTATCAATGACCCCTACTTGGAAATTTTGGAGAGCATGGACAACAAGGTAGGACCTTGTTCTTTCATAAGTTCAAACTATGGAAATTATCTAGAGAAACTGTGGATTGGTACTGTTCAAAGCCTTTTTGGATGTGGCTTTGACACAGCCTGGAAGGAGAAGTTGTTCCTGTCCATGAGCTTTAATGTCCCTTCCAACCCAGGTCATTCTGTGAATGTCATTCCTCCACTGCAGGAAGTTTTATGGTTTTTTCCTTCTTTATGACAGAAATGATATGTGTTCTCCTGGTTTCACTATTACAAAAAATATTGTGGAGATTATAGCTTCTAGCATCTCTTGTGATCCTTAGGTTTAAAGTGAGCAAGATGTTGAGTCTTTCAGTGTCCTATTTTCAATTTGCTCTTGTCACAATCTTCTGTTAATTTATCCTTCTGGCTGTTGAGCTGTCGAGCCTAAACCCACCTTCCAGAAAATCCCTGTTTCTCTGTTGCTTTTATTTTATTTGATTTTTTATTTTTTTTTAATTCTCTTTCCAAACAGAAAGCCCAGAGATATGAAGCAGTGAAGTGGGTGCTGGTTTTTGCTATTGGAGTCTGTACAGGACTGGTAAGGATCGTTATCTTTGGGGAATGAGGAATATTCAGGAGACTAAGCAGGAATAATTTAGAAGTCAGTGGCTAAGGATTAAAGAAGAGGAAGCATTCTCTTTCATGGTCATGAGAGCTTAGTAGCTGGAGTTGTATTCTGGGAATTATAGCATGTTGTTATAGACTATTTTTCAGGAAGCTTTTTCTTTTAGAACTTGCATGGTTTTCTTTTTAAAGTAGTCTGGCAAATCCTTTAATTTTGCAAACAGGAAAACTTGTCCAAAGCAAACAACATAATAAAAAAGGATGACAGTTTATGCCTCAATTAAATACCAGTTTTCTTCTGTACCCTTAAGTATGTTGAGGGTATTAAAAATGCTGCCAGATTAGTACTTTACTAAGGCTACTAATCAGATGCAGAAGTGCATCTCTTCAGGAATAATTCTAGGATGGATCTGTACCAGTGAGGGGGAGGGAAGAGTTTCTAAAGCTGCTTTACTCTGCACGATGCTTCTTTTGTCTTTTTCATCTTCTGTTCTTCCCTGCTTAAATATTTCTGGTAAAACTAGCTAGAGGGTTAACTAGAGGGTGATATTTGTTATTTGTATGTTGAAATTTCTGATGGCAATTCTGTCTTCTTTTTCCCAGGTGGGCCTCTTTGTGGATTTCTTTGTGCGGCTCTTTACCCAGCTCAAGTTTCAGGTGGTACAGAGCTGTATCTTTTACCTTGGGCCTTGCTAGACTCAAGTGACCTTTTCCTTTCTGTTCCCATGTTTTGCTCAAAACAGCTGACTCTCACAATTCTGACACTGGGCATGTTGTTCATGATTAAGCAACTTTTCAACTTGCTTATGTAATTCAGCCCTTGAAACCAAG